TCAGATTATTTATTTAAATGTTTTGAAATCTGGCACAATTCCAAGGCACATTTTTGCCAGCAATTTTCTCTCTTTTTTCCCCTAAGCCCATGTGTATTTTAAGCAAATACTCATCCATATGGTCCTCATTTTTTGTCTCTTAATTCATCTCTATGTTGCTCAAAATGTTATTCGAGATCTTTTTCTTTAGGTACCTATTAAAGTTTGTATGCTTATTTGGGGGTTTCATATTAAGGTTTGTTACTTTTTAAAAATTTTGTTTTCTTCCAGAGAAATAAAAAGCTTTATTTAGGCATTATGAAAAATAGTTCTGTGTTAAGGGATTTAAGCACCTTTCCCTCCATACCCCAAGTAAGACTAACATATATGGTGGACTCATGATGTCAAGTCTGGAACTGGGTAGCTGATACGTTTTATCTCATTCAATCCTTGTGAAGACCTTGGGAAAAAGTCCCCTCCCTCAATATGCAGGTGGACTCACTGACCAGTGAAGATATCTGAGGCACAAGACTATTCAGAAGAACAGCCATGACGTAAACCACTCTGCTTCCCAAAGCCTATGCTACGTCTGTGGTATCTCACCTCCTGGTATTGCATCTAATTTGGTAGTAAGCAAGCATTATGTGATTGCATGCTTACGTAGAGTTCAATTAATATGTGCCCTTTGAGAAGATTCCAGGGAAAATCTTGGCTCCTTTCTGGAGGGTTATAATTTCCTATAACCTCATTGAACAAAGAGATCCAATACCTCCTTTATTCTTCCTGGAGACCTCTGACTTTCAAAGGGCCACCCATTTGATAACTGGATCAATGGATCAGTAAAATCCTGGAGACACAGTGGAAATTCAGGAAACTAGGCATGCAAATCAGTCCCCTTGCCTTTTTGGAATTTTTGCTGCCTCTTTCCAAAAAGAGCATAACCCTGAGTGCCCCATGCACTTATTGCTAAAGAGATGCTAAAGTGGTCTCTGCAGTAATTGCTCCAGAAATCACTGGAGGGCAGTTTTTACACCTTGTTCTCCACTCTGTGTAGCAGGTTTTCTCTTCTTATGCCTCAGTGTCTTATTGGCTCAAGAGACATAATTACATGTGCCTTATTCTTCCTGCAAGATGCTGTGAGGTTAACCTAGGTAACACAGAGTAAAATGCTCTCAACAGATGAGAATATAATGCATATGGGGATGGAGTTGTGGATGCTGCCTCAGAATTTTTACCATTCCCTGGGCTTAGGGCTATACAATGAGGTCTCTCCGGAAACTCATCCTGGAGTTCCAAACTGCATGAATTCTGAGAGGTAAAAATATTTGCAAAAAGTTCTTTATTAACTACCAGGTTGGTCCTTCTTGGTCATAGTGGGCCTGTGCTGTAAGGACCACTTCTCAACAGAGCTTTGTATTCTTATTAAGAAAGGTGGAGGGGACTTTTCATTTCACAGGTAAAAACCAAGGCTCAAATAAGAGAAGCTTCTTGCCTTTCTGTTTCACAGAGCTGCGTGCATAGATACAAACACATTCCCGGCGTAACAGAATGGACGCACCACTTTTTACAAAGCTAAGGTGACTATAACTGATACCAAAGCATACAAAACAAACCTTACAAAGACTTTGGAAGTTATATTTCAACAATAGCAGTGAATAAAATAAAATTAAAATAGTAAGTAGCATCAACTGAGTTTAAGCTATGTGAACAAGATTATAGATTCCTCCTACCCAATGGGGTAGAGATTGATACCAGAAAGTGAGGCTACAGCAGTGAAGTGAATGTTCACACTAACGGCCCCAGTGAACAGTCAGGTCAAACTCAAATTCAGGTCTATTTTCATCCCAGCATCTTTGTATTTGGCTGCTGCATCTTATGGTTCTTTAGGAACCAGAAATGGAATTTAGAGTGCAGATTTTACGTTGTGGTCAAGAATCAAGGCAGTTCATGAATTGCCTAAGTTACGGCTGTTGTTGAATATTCCAATTACAAACCTGCCATATTTCAAACATGAAAATGATTTGTATACGCTGGTTTACATAGGAGTATCATTCAATAAAGAAAATATCTTCTTTGATTTTTTATTTGCTTAACAAGTAGCTTTCAACTTTCAGTCTTATTCATTGCTTTAAAAACTCACGATTGCCGGGCGCGGTGGCTCAAGCCTGTAATCCCAGCACTTTGGGAGGCCGAGGCGGGTGGATCACGAGGTCAAGAGATCGAGACCATCCTGGTCAACATGGTGAAACCCCCTCTCTACTAAAAATACAAAAAATTAGCTGGGCATGGTGGCGTGTGCCTGTAATCCCAGCGACTCAGGAGGCTGAGGCAGGAGAATTGCCTGAACCCAGGAGACGGAGGTTGCAGTGAGCCGAGATCGCACCATTTCACTCCAGCCTGGGTAACAAGAGCGAAACTCTGTCTCAAAAAAAAAAAAAAAAAAAAAAAAAAACAAAAAAAACTCACGATTTAGGTAAAAGTAATTACATTTAATTTTAATCATTTGATTAGCTTTCTTTTAATTTTAGCAGTACTGAAAACAATCACTCTTAGCTATATGTGTCATATATGATATGACAATAGGAATACCGGGAGACATCTATCTACTCCTTCAAAATGTGATCTAACTTGATTCCTAATGAAGGGTTTGCTCTTGCAAAAAATTTCCTTGACAAATCTCTTTCCCAGGAATCGATGTTTTTTCCTTGGTTCTTTTTAAAAACCAATTTTGTAGCCTTCTGAGATCTTTTATAATTTCTACATGAAGGAGTGACCAATGTTAATCACACTGTACATGCATACTATGGAATTCACACTTTGATCAAGACAGACATGGCATCTGTTGTACCACAGGGTGGCGCGACATGGTGGAGAAGGAGTTAATTTGGGAGGAGTGGTCTAGGCTCAAAACAAGAGTTTATTGTTAGCTACCTGCTGTGATTGAGACTTTGGAGAGAGTGGAAATCAGCACCAAACACCCTAATTGCTAATAGAAGAGTGAGTCAGGAATCAGAGATTCAAAAGTGTGGCCAAGTCTTAAGACACAAAGAAGCCGAATTTTGAAATGGTGCATGGGAAATCACCTGCAAGGCAGCTACTGGGATTTTGAGCAAGTCCCTGTTTGCTGGTCTTCCTAGATCACAGCGGCTCTATCCAAAGTGGGTCCAAAAAGCTGTAGGTGTCTGCTGATGAGTCTCACTGACCCCTGATTATCATCCCTGAATGTTCACTAAGCGATCAAGCAATATCTGACATAAACGTAAGATATTTCCTTATCATACACCCCTTTTGGAGTAACATGAAATCACATTTATACAAACAAGGATTAGATCACACTCAAAATTGTGAGAACACAGCTTCACTCAAGGCCGTCTTGCAGGAATGCTCAAGGAAGTTGACAGATCTCATAACGAATGTCTTGGCCATCATTCTTGTCAGCTTTGTGGCACCTTTCCATCTCTTTTTGCGTAATGTTGTATAAAATGTGGGGAACCTGGTTAATCGCTCCTTAGATCCACTTGCCTCTTATTTAAATGGGGATTAACATCTCTCATGCAAGGTTTAAAAATATCAAACCTCTTTGAAGGGCCTGGCACATAGCAGATGCATAAGTTTTGATAAATCGATTTCTTTCTCTTTGTTTCTTTCCTAACGTCTATTCCTAAAAGTCATTTAGAATTCAACAGAAACTAGAAAAGATGGGCATATGCCATGTATATGCTCCCCACCTCCTTCACCAGAGACCTTTATAACACACACGTAATTTATCGCATGCTCCTTCAAGCCTTCTTGAAGACTCAGATGACAGCAACAAACCAAAATGTCCAAGTAGGCCAGCAACCGTAAAGGAGCTTGCTCTACCTCTCCCATGTCAGAGAACCAGCGCAAAGTCATTAAAGGAGCTGAAACTAAATCTCAAATACACAAGACTCCAGGTAATTTAATCTCTGGTTTGAAAATTTAAAAACTTGTCTTAATTCTCTTATAGGGGCGCCCCATTCCTTCCCTCTTTACTTCCAATAATTCAAAGAAGCTCCATGTATGTCAGGGCCTTCGTGGGAGGCCAGCAGCAGCTGCCACTGTGGATCAATGTGCTCCTGGGTTGTCCTGTACCAGTAGTGGGACCAGACCAGAAAGCTTGTCACCTTTGATTACTCACCCTATCCTAGTGCTAAAGAAACAAGATGTGAAGAATGGCCTCTCAAGAACATTTGATCCAGCCTGCAAAATCACTGAAACTTTAACCCTTCCCTGCTGGAAATTCATGTATGGTCCTCAGGAGTGTTTTCTATGCAATGTCATTCTCAATCAATGGCCTACACACAGACACTGAAACATTTCAGACTCCACAGGAAAATCATCCTTTATTAAGAGTAGACAGATCGTGGACAGAACTAACTCCACAGAATTTTCCTTTGGCAGTGCACTACAGTCAGAACATTGGGCTGGGCAGCAAGAAATCTGGTTTCTGAGCTTGGCTTGTCCTCTACTAGCTCTGTGTGACACCCTTCTTCCATCTGTCCAATGAAAAAGTTGGAGAGAATGGGATCTAGTGTCCTTCCAGATCTGAAATTCCCTATATAGCATAGCTGCAGAGATCCAGGGCTTAGAGTTGCACAGACATGGTTGAATCTCAGCTCCAACGTGTACTGGCAAGATACCACAGTTTTTGAGTTCATAAGCAAAATAGGAATGATGAGAGTACATAATACACAAGAATATTTTAAGGATTAAACAAGATAATTCAATTGCAGTATTTAGCTCTGTGGTTGCCCTAAAGAAATAATTTAACAAATTGTAAAACTATACTTATAATTGCTTATAGGATCTGTTTAACTATTGATCACTTCCAATAAATGTATAAACAAGAATATTTTAAAGTGGATTGTGTAATAAAGACATTGAACTTGCTGAAAAAGATTTGAGAATTTTCATTTCTGCAAATGCTCTCATATTACCGCAACAGAAAATGTACAGAGAAAAATAAACAAGTAGAGAAAACAAGTAAGCAAGACCCAGGCCCTCTAGGCTGGGAAGTGCAAAGGCCCTGCAGCTTTGATGGGTGTACACAGCCCCATTGCCTTCAGCATTCTCGTCCATTGCCAGTCTGCACCAATCACGGAAGCAACTTGTAGAAACTCCATTTACAGTCAACCTGCATAGAAAAGCCAAAGGGAAGAGTCAATGCAATTAACCCAGAGTGAAATCCTGCTTCTAAAAAATTCTCCCACTCTATTCTTGGATTTATAGTACAAGGTTTTCACTGTAATGGCTCTTGTAAATTAATTGCAGACACAATTGTCTACGGGCATTCTCAGATTAAGTGGCAAGTAGTTAATTGCACCCCAAATTAGCCAATTCTGCCCATAATCAACCATTTGAAGACAATTAATTGCATGCATAATATTTGCACCTGCAACTAATTGGAGACCCTTATATTGTTCGTGGAATAAATAAATAAATAAATAACAACAGCAGAAGAACCAGGGGCTACTCTGAACACGTAGTCTTTTGTAGCTTGAGGTTCCGGACAGCTGGTAAGGGGATAAAGCTTAGGAAACACTCAACTGTGTTACAGCTGCTTAAATGGAAAAGTAAGTTTTTCACTGCAGTTTTTAACTGATAAACAAAAATTATATATATGTATCGCATATAACATGATGTTTTAATGTATGCATACATTGTAGAATGGCTAAATCAAGCTAATTAACATATGCTCTACCTCATGTACTTGTTATTTACTTGTGGTTGGAAAAGCAATTTTGAATTACCTAGGATGAGCAAGATTTCCAAGACATTACGTTTTGATTATTTTACCTTTTCCTCCTTCCTGTTACTAACATGAACAACTGGTACTTAAATTTTTCATTGACATAATTTTAAAATTTAAGTCATCCAAGGTTTGGAAATATTAAAATCATCTCACATATTGAAATAATGGTGTGTTTTAAAAGAAAGATTCTCTTATTTTTGCTACATTTCACCCATAGGCTAGCTAAACATGCTAGCCACAAAACGACAACAAGAAGACAAAACAAACAAAAACAGATGCTCTTTCAAGCCTGTATAGCATTAGAACAATAACCACATATGTATCATTACGTCATCTGCTGTCTGGTTGTGAACTAGCAAAACCTCTTTTCACTCTTAAAAAATAAATTTAATAATAATAACAATCATGGCAATATTAATGGCAATAGTGACAATAACATCAATCACCAAACAGTAAATACTTTGCCTTCACATAATTAGCATAACTAAACTCACTTAAATTGTCACAACTATTCAAAGACATTTTATGCCCATTTTATAAACTAAAAAATTGCTCAATGAAGCTACATAATTTTCTTAATAAAACACAGTAATAAATCATAGAGCTATAATTTAAACTTAGATAACTTTATTCATGTAAAGTGCTGAACTCAGTGCCTGAGACATGGTAGTTGCTCAATTTAGATTAGCCAAAATATTTACAATCTTATTAATTTCTGTTTATTCTCTTTAACTGCCATGTTGGGGATAAAATAGTAGAACTAAGAATATGTACTAAGTGCTTCTTATGTGCTGGTTACTAGTTTAAGTGCTTGACAAAGCGATAACCAATTTAAACTCAGTAACAAGGGCATTTGATACATACTATTATTATGTCCATTTTGAAGATGATAAAACTAAAGCAGAGAAATGTTAAATAATGTGCTCAAAGATATATAAGTAGCAAGAGATCAAGATGGAAAATTCAAACACTGACATTACAGAAAGCCCAGACATAAATTCAGACATATATGATCAATTAATCCTTGACTAAGGTGCCAGATTACACAATGGGGAAGGATTGTCTGTTTAACAAATGGTGTCAAGAAAAATGAATATCCACATGCAAAAAAATGAAATTGAATTCTTTTCTGAAACTATATACAAAAATCAATTTAAAATTGATTAAAAGCCTATTATTTATTTATTTATTTATTTGAGATGGAGTTTTGCTCCTGTTACCCAGGCTGGAGTGCAATGGCGCTATCTCGGCTCACCGCAACCTCCACCTCCTGGATTCAGGCAATTCTCCTGCCTCAGCCTCCTGAGTAGCTGGGATTACAGGCACGTGCTACCATGCCCAGCTAATTTTTTGTATTTTTAGTAGAGACGGGGTTTCACCGTGTTGACCAGGATGGTCTCGATCTCTTGACCTCGTGATCCACCCGCCTCGGCCTCCCAAAGTGTTGGAATTATAGGTGTGAGCTACCGCACCCAGCCCCTGGATTAAAAGTCTAAACCTATGACATGAAACTATAACATTCCTAGAAAAAAAATATAAGAGAAAAATTCTGTGACATTGGTTTTGGTGATGAGTTTTTGTAGACATGACACCAAAAGCATAGCCAAGGAAACAAACAATTGAGATGACATCAAACTAACAAATTTCTATACAGAGAAGGATGCAATCAACAAAATGAAAAGGAAACTCACAAAACGGGATTAGATATTCATAAACCATTTATCCTATTAGATAGAAGTTCATATCCAAAACTTATAAGGAAGTCATGGAACTCAACAGCAAAAAAATAAATAAATAAAATAACCTAACTGAAAAATAGGATTATTTTCAAAATATAAATAAATAAGTAAATAATCAGGATAGAATTTTGCCAAGACATACAAATGGCCAATGGGCAGATGAAGAGGTGTTCAATATCACTCATCATCAGGGAAACGCAAACCAAAGCAGCCATAAGGTGTCACCTCACATTTTGAGGACAACTGTTATCAAAAACGTCGAAAAAGATCAAGTGTTGGCAAGTGTGTAGAGAAGAGGAAAACGTAGTGCACTGTTGGTGAGGCTGGTACAGTCTGAATTGGCACAGCCATGAGGAAAAGCAGCATGGAGCTTCCCCCCAAAATTAAAAATAGAATCACCAATTATTCTTCAATAAAGCAAAAAAATAAAAAAAACATAAAAATAGAAAAAAAAGCAAATACAAATGCACTGGTTGTAAAAAGTGTGCACTTAACTGATACACCATGTTTCCTCTTATCTGGACAGATGGAACTGCGGAAATAGTACTGCTGTATTACTGGTAATGCCGCTTCTGGGTACAAGTTTAAAGGAAATAGAATTACTATCTTGAAGATGTATCTGCATTTCTGTGTTTATTGCAGCATTATTCGCAATAGCCAAGATTTGAAACAATGTAAGACATATCCATAGACAGATGAATGGGTAAAGAAGTTGTGAGATATAGATATATATATATGGCTAAAAATGGTTCCTGGAACCATTTTTAGACTTAAGAAAAGAAGAAAATTCTGCCATACGCAGCAACATAGATGAACCTGGAGGACATTATACTAAGCGAAATAAGCCAGGCACAGAAAGACAAATACTGTATGATCTCAATTATATGTGGAATCTTAAAAAGTGAAACTCATAGAAACCAAGAGTGAAAAGGTGGTTATCAGAGATCCAGAATGGAGGGAATGGGTAGGTGTTGGTCAAAGGGTACAACCTTCCAGTTATAAGATGAATAAGTTCTGAACAGCTAATGTACAACATGAGGACCCCAGTTATTAATAATGTATTGCGATTCTGAAATTTACTAAGAAAGTAGATCGTAAGTATGTGGATATGTTAATGAACTTTATTATAAAAATCATTTCCTGGTGTATACATATATGGAAACATCACTTTATATACCTTAAAAATATACAATTTTTATTGGTCAATCATTCCTCAATAAAGTGAAAGAAAAAGTTGAAAAACAAATACTAAGATTTTTTTAAAGTGTGTACTTCATACACTATGTTTCATTTCATGATCTGGACAGATAAATTTGTCTGTAAAAATAGGCACAAATGTGTGCGTATGTGTGGACATGGATGTGATGAAGCGGCGTGTTACAAATTAGTCAGTTGATTAAACACTGGCATGTACTAAACGCTTGTTTCTAAAATGGTAGCAGAACCACTGGCAGTTGATTGGAACAAGGAGAAAGAGAAAGACCCTCTTTTCTGCCTCCACAGAAGCTAGAGCCCACTGGTAAAGGTTAGCTCTGGGAGGAGGTGCTCTCAGTGATGGTCAGAAAGCTGTAGAACCATCAAGAAAACCTGCTGAAAAATGAAAGTGGGAGTGAGGAGATGTAGCTAAGCATCAGGATAGGGAAGGCCAAGCCATATGGTGACCAAAGAGAAGGCGTTCAGACAGGTGATCGCGCTCCACAGCAGAGGGGATCAAGAAGGAGGAAATAAATGTCCAGACAAGTTTATCATCCAGGGCAGGAAGCCTACAGGGTCTGTGAGCCCAGAGGCAGCTCTGTTTGGAGCCTGTTCAATTCTATGCCAGCCCTATCCTTCTCGCCAGGACCTGTGGGTCTTTATGGAAGCACTTTGTTTTGTTGGGATGAAACTACACTATATTACAAGCTGAAGAATACTAAGGGTTGACTTTCTACCAATGCAGAGAGGATTTAGGGATGCCAGTTAAATATGGCTTTGAAGATAACTGAACAGAGTTTATTCACAAGGAGTTGGGGCTTGTACCTTATTCACAAGGAGTTGAACAGAATTTATTCACAAGAGGAGTTGGGGCTTACAGTGCCCAGTTCAGCAGATCACCACCATGAAGGAACAGAACTGACCCCAAACTCCCAGCAGTCAGGAGAAAAAAATCAAAACTTTAAGTGGGAGAAGAGCATGTGAATTTCACTGTGTGACAATGAGAATTCTTAAAGAATCCAGGACACGCATGTGTTTTTTTTTCTCTAGAAATAAACCTAAAACATAGCATTGTCAACCAAGTCTCTGACAAAAACTTTGAACAGAGCAAAACAAATGGTAGCCCACCTGACCAGACAGGTCTGTCATCGGGCGGACAGAAATTCAGTGATCAAAATATTCAGAGATGGTCTTGCAGTCAGACACAAATCTTTCTTTAACTGGTATTTCCCCACCTTAGCTGAGCGTGACTGTCTTGCAGAATCAAGGGCTCCCGTTATGTGCGCGAACCTTTCTCTACGCAGGTGGACCCCAGGCTCACATTTCTTCCCTTGACTAGGGTAGCTCCTGATCATAAAAACAGTTATGTTAGCTTAGTTTGCGTTCTTACTAAAGCTGTTTTGCCTAGTACAGTAATCTTTTCTTTCTTTTCTCCTTTTTAGGTCGTCTGCTTAATTAGCCACACTGTTTTGCCTCCCCAGAGATGAATGTTAAATACATGAGTCTTGATTTTTCCTTTTCTTCCTTTGTGACATATGAGCAAAGCTAGTATCGTAGTACCTGATATTTACCAGGATTGCTTGGAGATTAACAAAACTAGGTGCAAGTCCTTTAGAGTCTTACAAGATGGGATGTTCAAAAGTCCACAGTGGGCAGCCGCTCTTCTTCTTTGCCCTTCCTTTGGGTCAGAACGCACTGATTTACCCTGTGGAGCTGTATTTTAACTGGCACAGAGTGCAGACCCTCACTACTAGAAGGACCACTCGTCTTGAAGAACTTGTACCTTCCACATCTTGTCTTATTCCAATCAGGCAGCTCATCCATACAAATTGTGAATGAGCTTCATAGCGTTTGTTGACTACACACATTTTGGAGTTGATGACAGACACCTGGGGTGACGAGTTGTGGTCAACTGCTTTTTGGCCAGTTTTCTCCCCAATATCACTTTTTTAGATGGCTGTTGTTATGTACATTTGCTCATGTCTCTCTCCTCCACTAGACTGTAAGGCCCGGCTCTGTCTCCCTAGAATATTCACATGAAATGAATGAGAACTGGGGAACGAAGGACTGTCCACCAGAGCATCTGTTTTACTGTCTGGCACCTTTCAATACCACCCGCCCCAAACGTGAATTGAAAGCTCGCTTCATAAAATTGGCAAGCACCCTGGCAAATAATGCTCCATCCTGTCTCCTTAAGGAGACACAGGGAAAGGCTACCAGGAACAGAGGCAGGGGCAGGCAAAGGAGAAGAGGCAAGGAGGAATGGAAGCAGAGAGAGAAAAGTGACTGCGCTTAGGGCCGGCTTCTCATTTTCCCCAGGGACCCTCCACTGACCATTTCAGGTGTCACTATTCACAGAAACCTCCGGATTCCCAACCTCTTGGCAGCCCCTCTCCCTCCTTGCCCCTCTCTCCATCTTCCCCTCCCCCACAAAGGCCTCCACCATACACCATGGAGCTTCCTGAATACCATGTGAGCATGAACTCACAGATGCATAATTTACACAAACATGCATTCGCTGACTGATGCCACTTTTTTCAGAGTCCTACAAAAGCAAAGGGAAAAATTGCTTCCAGAATATGAGGCACAAATCAGTTGGCAGTGGCCCCAGTGGTATCGTGTGACTTGTGCCTTAATAATGTTAAAATCTCTCTGCAGCCTCCATGGGGTTTGCTTCAAAGACACATGTCTCAAGCCGCTGCATCTCTTTAGAGCACAAGTCACACTGAGCCCTTCCTCAGGTTATTTGCAAGTGGCGCACCTTGCCCACTCTTCAAACATGACCTCATTGCCACCTGCCAGGCAGCAGCTTGGTGTGAAATGCTGTCTTATTATGTAGGAAGACGATGTGATCTTAGAATACCTCATATCCAAACAGCAGATTGAAAAGAGCAGATGGAAATAAGGGGGTGGGGAAGAGGTCAGGGTGGGAATTAAGGATACTTCTCACTGACTGAGCAGCCGTACCCACCCCGCCATACGCCCAGTTCTAAAAACAGTTATTTTTTAAAAATGGAAGGGAACAAACACTCACAAATCCATTAGTCAATGGCAAATGAGTCTCATACCCAGAGGTGTTCCTTGTCTCAGAGCTGGTCGGAGATCGTTTTTCAACATGGGAGCTACATCGCAGCACCTCGACTGCTTCTCGATAGGGAGGCTAGGCTTTGCAGTGAGTCAAACACTGAAGACGTATTTAATCAAAATTACACTGCTCTTTGACCAACGTTCCTGGCGGTCAGGACTTGGAGATGAAATATTAATGAATAAGGGAAGAGACAAAGAATAAAACCTACGGAGTGGGTTTAATATTTTGTTCTGAGATCATCCCTGTGAGGAATGAAAGACAAAACAGGTATAAGTGTGCTTGTGTGGAATCTATTTAAATTGTAAAGTAAGAAAAGGAAAGCAACTTTGGCCTAAGACGAGGACAGGATTTTAAACCACAAGTAAGAGCATTTTCAAACCTAGGCTAAGAGAAATTAGAAGTAGTGCACTGTTATATTAAAAATTCCCAGGACAAACAAAACGAGGCATGGAGAAAGTCCATGGGAAAAAAATGACAAATAAATTAAGATAACACTTTATTATGAGAAAACTCACTTTCTATAGCATAAAGCAAAGTTCTGTCCATAAAACTTGACATTTAGAATCTCGTTTTGTGGCTGCAGCAGGGATGTGAAGACGTACTTTGGATTTTTACTAATAAATATTAGAGAATCCAGTGACTTAAATAATTACACAGCCTGGGCATAGTTGAATGCATGAACATTTATCAAAGGAAGAAAGCACATACGTCAAATTCAAAAACAACATTAGGGTCGTAACAGACATATATTTTCTAATAAAATTGATTTATGGTGGCTTTTTCTATATAGGATTTGGAAAAACAAAATAATCTATGTTTTAGGCTCACATGTATTTGGCAATAACACACCCACAAAATGTCTAAAGTGTGGGTTACGGTAATTGCACGCAAGTGCAGTACTTTGTGCTGAGAAAGTTTAATTCCGTGATTGGATTGAGCCATTACAGAATCCCGCTCTGGGTGCATTTAAGGAATTATAAATTCAGCGCTGAATTTATAGTCCCTCGCCCTTCACGGACCATCGCTTAGTCCCCAAGCGAAGCTGGAAGGGAAGAACAGAGCTGCAAGCCTATTTCATACAGCACTGTTTCCCTTTACCATGCCATCTATGTGAAACATCTGTTGGTTTTACCAAGAGACAAGCCTCAGAGGATGCAGGGCAGGCTTTGCAACTCATGAAACAAGTTGCCTAAGTTCTTGTGGTTTTTCAGACACCTTCAAGTTATACAGAAAGGTAAATGCAAGAGCAAATGTCACACCCACGTGAGGCTATGCTCCGTGGCACTGAAGCAGGATCACGGTGGGCAGAGTCCTCTTCTCCAGCCAGCCTCTGCCTCCTCTTCACACCTCTTCGTGACTGGCAGAGATAAAGTGTTGGAAGCTTTCTGACAAGGGCTGGAAGGTTCCATCAGTGACCGGAAAGAAGTCATTGCTCTTCAGCATTTTTTGGTTTCAGAGCGTGGATCTGCCACACAGCTCCAGTTTGGCTTTCAGTAAAGAAGCTGGTTACACTAATTCAAATTAGCTTCAAGGAGAAGCTCAATTAATGATAAAGTGAAGAAATGTGCTGGATTTTCCCCACCAAAGGCTGCTTCTCAGCACGCAGCGCAGCAGGCTAACTTCTGCTATGCAACGCCTTCCACTGCACTGGGGAAACTCTTTTACATGTAAGAGGCAAATTGCAAGAAATTCAAAAGGGAACTAGTACATGGATGCTATGGAGAAAGATATTCACTGAAGCCTGTGGAAGTACGGCCAGAACGTAGCTGTGTAAAACAGTTCCCTAAGATTTTCACTTTGAGGACTGCTTATGTCACATTGACAGAGGCTTGACCTGAAAGCAACGCCATTTCTGATGACTACTGCTACTCACGTGGCACATGAGTGGAATCAAGCGGACGAAGGAATGAATCCTGAAAGTCCCTGTATGCTTGGAACCAAAGTGGTTGCGTACAGATCGAGCACACTGGGAAGAAATGGCTGAAAGGAAAAGTTGGGGCTTTCTCTTCTAGGTCACTCTTAGCAAACTGCACACTGGAGGCCAAAGCCAGCACATCACCCACCTTTGTAAGTGGAGTTTTACAGGACAGCAGCCATACCCATGGAGAGACACGTCTCCTGCAGCTGACTTCAATTTACAGCACTGGTGTTGAGAAATTTCAACAAAGACCTCATGTCCTGCAAAAACAAACGAATTTACTCTCTGGACCTTTATAGAAAGAGTTTGCCAACCTCTGCTAATAGGCAATGGACAGCTGTTCTAATTTTCTTTTTTTTTAAATTTATTTTATTGCATTTTAGGTTTTGGGGTACATGTGAAGAACATGCAAGATTGTTGCATAGGTACACACATGGCAGTGTGATTTGCTGCCTTCCTCCCCATCACCTACATCTGGCATCTCTCCCCTTGCTATCTCTCCCCAACTCCCCACCCCCCACCGTCCCTCCCCTGTTTCCCCCCAACTGACCCCAGTGTGTAGTGCTCCCCTCCCTGTGTCCATGTGTTCTCATTGTTCAACACCCACCTATGAGTGAGAACATGCGGTGTTTGATCTTCTGCTCTTCTGTCAGTTTCTTGAGAATGATGGTTTTCAGATTCATCCATGTCCCTACAAAGGACACAAACTCATCATTTTTGATGGCTGTATAATATTCCATGGTGTATATGTGCCACATTTTCCCTGTCCAGTCTATCATCAATATACGACAATTAATGAAAGAGGACAGAAATCAAGGAGTAAAATGTCAAGATCATTCAAAAATTTTCTGACTCAATAAATCTGGGATCTCTTAACTTCTTTATAAAATCCCTTAACCGCAAACCTGTATTAAATCACATGCTAGGTAGTCACTGGGTACTCTGTAATACTCTTCCGATCTTTTTTTTTTTTTCCTGTGCAGAAACTCTTAAAATTTAATTAGATCTCATTTGCCAATTCTTGACTCTGTCGTGATTGCTTTTGGTGTCTTTATCATAAAATCTTTCCCAGTTCCTAGGTCCAGAATGGTATTGTCTAGGTTGTCTTCTGGGGTTTTTAAAGTTATGGGTTTTACATTTAAATGCTTCATATATCTTGAGTTGATTTTTGTATTTTATGTAATGAAGGGGTCCAGTTTCAGTTTTCTGCATATGGCTAGCCAGTTACTCCAGCACCATTGATTAAATAGGGAATCCTTTTCCTATTGCTTGTTTTGGTCAACTTTGTGGAAGAACAGATGGTTGTAGGTTTGTAGCTTTATCTCCAGTCTCTCTATTCTGTCTGGTCTCTCCCTTTCTCTGTCCATCAATGTATCCGTTTTTGTACCAGTGCCATGCTGTTTTGGTTACTGTAACCCTGTACTATAGTTTGAAGTCGAGTAGCATGATGCATGCCTCTAGCTTTGTTCTTTTTGCTTATGATTGCCTTGGCTAATTGTCCCATTTTTCTTTGGTTCCATAGGAATTTTAGAGTAGTTTTTTCTAATTCTGTGAAGAAGCCATTGGTAGCTTGATAGAAATACCACTGAATCTGTAAATTGCTTTGGGCAGTAGGGCCATTTTAATGATATTTATACTTTCTATCCATAAGCATGGGATGTTTTTCCATTTGTGTGTGTCATCTCTGATTTTGTTGAGCAATGTTTTATAATTCTCATTGCGGAGTTCTTTCACCTGCCTGGTTAGCTGTATTTCTAAGTACTTTGTTCTTTTTGCGGCAATTGTGATTGGGTTGCATTCCTGATTTGGTTCTCAGCTTGGCTGTTTTGGTGTCATTTTCCTATGTTGATTTTGTATTATGAAACTTTGCTGAAGTTGTTTATCAGCTGAAGGAGCTTTTGGATTGAGACTATGGGGTTCTCTAGATGTAGAATCATGTCATCTGTAAACAGGGATAGTTTGACTTCTCTCTTCCTATTTGGATGCCCTATATTTCTTTCTCTTGCTTGATTGCTCTGAAAAAGATTTTCAATACTATGTTGAATAGGAGTGCTGAGAGAGTGCATCCTTGTGCTGGTTTTCATGGGAACTGCTTCCAGCTTTTGCTCATTCAGTATGATTTTGGTTTGTTATAGTTGACTCTTATTATTGTCAGGTATGTTCCTTAAATACTTAGTTTATTGAGAGTTTTTAACATGAAAAAAGTTGAATTTTGTCAAAAACATTTTCTGAATCTGTTAAAACTATCATACAGTTTTTGCCTTTAGTTCTGTTCGTGTGATGAATCACATTTATCAATTTGTGTATGTTGAACCAACTTAGCTTTGCAGGGATAAAGCCTGCTTGATCATAGTGGGTAAGCTTTTAGATGTGCTGCTGATTCTATTTGCCTGCATTTCACTGAGTATCTTTGTATCAACGTTCATCAAGGATAGCAGCCTAAAGTTTTCTTTCTTTCTTTGGTTTCTGCTAGCTTTTAGAGCCAGGATGATGCTGGCTTCACAATGTGAGTTCAGGAAGAGTCCCTTCCCCTCAACTTTTTGGAATAGTTTCAGTAAGAATGTCTCTGTAAGGTTGTTAGTTTCTTTCCCTTTGCAGAAGCCCTTACGTTTAATTAGATCTCTTTGTCAATTATTCCTTTTGTTGTGATTGCTTTTGGTGTCTTCATCATGCAATCTTTGCCAGGATGGCAACTTAGCCTGGTTAACAACCAGTGTTGGAGAACTAGTATGGTTGCTTAGAGGACACACAACACTCTAGCCATTTGAGTTATAGGAGTTCCCATGTTGGTTTTTTTCTCATCTCTGCATGCGAGTGTTGCTTTAACTGCATTGCAGATTGAGTAGAGTCAGTAGGCCTCTTGTCTTCATGTTTCCACAGGGCCCAGGCTTTAAGGAGGGTGTTTATTTGTAGCTGACTTCTTGTGTTTGTTTTCACAGGGGAGTATGCTTGTGAGGTGTTTTTGGTGTTGCAGCTTTAAGGTGTGATCCAGCAGGTAGGCGGTTCTTAGGCATATTGGTCAGTAGGTGTGCTCTTGCTCAGCTGTGTGGCTCCCCTGTTTTTCCTCACATGTGTATCCGTGCCCCCTCTCAACGCTCTGAAAGTGTGGACTGCTCTCCCATTTGAGTGCTGGCTGTTGATTGCAACTTAGCACTCTTGGGCTGTCCGACATAGATCTGGGGTAATCTCAGGGTTTATGTCTCCTCTCTACCTTTGAGGCAGCAGTGGAAGGGACTTCACCCATGGCTGTGACTGAGGATCTTTCACTTAATTACTGAGGGCTTCATCCCAGAGAAATGCAGGTTAGCAATCGCTCTGTGCAATCAACCTGGAATGGTGGGGGGTGGTTCTGTGCTGGGGACCCAAGCCAGGGGTTCCTTTACTGGTGAAAAGCAGTGGGGGTGGGTGGCTGGGACCTGTGGTAGACAAACTTCCTTTCCCTGGCTCAACTTCTGCTTATTGGAGGTGTGGGTAAAATATTTGGTGTCTTCGCTGCTGCATTATTCCAAGGGTAGCAGAGGCAGTAACAGCGCAGAGTCAGTGGCAGAGGGGCTTTTGGTTGCCCTGGGATCTCCACCTCTGAGGAATGGGGAGCCACCTTTACTGGAAGTGTTCAGCCAGTCAGGTAGGCAGCCGCAGTGCTGGCATGAGCTTGGGGCTTCACCTGTTGAGTAGCAGGGTGTTAAGGGCTCACTGGGAGGTAACTGGTCTTCTCTCTGTATGGTGATAGTGGTCTGCTACAGGCTCAGGTGTAGCCCTCAGGCTCTTTGTTTCTTTCCCAGGCTGGAGGTGGCAGGAACAAAACCACTGCTGTGGGAGAGGCTGTCGGATGTCTCTGGGGGCCTCTCCCTAGGAAAACTCTAGGCTGCTAACAGTGGGTATGTTCAACCATGAATGGGGTAGCTGTTCTGCAGTCATGAGCCTAGGACTCTACCTGGTGAAGAGTGGGAGGGGTGGGGATTGCCAGGGAAGAGGGGCTGGACTCCTGTCTGTATGGTGGCTGCCCTGTGCTGAAGGTACCAGTGTAGTGACCAGGTTCTTTGTTCCTTCCCCTATCCCAGGGCTTTTAAAGTGACAGTTGAGGACTGACTGCAGCTGCAGTGGTGGAGGGGTAGAGGGTTGATTCTGGCATTTCCTCCTCAAGGAAACGCTGTGCTGCTTCTGATTGAAGTGGCCAGGTGCGGGCAGGGTGGCTGTGCTGGAGTCCCAGGTAGGGTGGAACTATCCATTGGGAAGAAGTGAGGACTAGACCTGCATAGAGAATAATCTGGCCGCTTTTCCATGAGGTGGGTGCTCTGTGCTCTGTGCTGGGAGGAGCTCCTGGTCCTCTCAGACTCCAGAACCTGGAAACAGCGAGGGTGAGGGAAGTGAGACAGCCAAGATGGCAACCCACCCCTCCCACTGCGGGCTCTGTCCTTGGGAGTTGTAGAGCTGCTACTGGTTCCATAGCCCCAGGAATGGGGTGATTGGAGATCCAGGGAGGGAGGACCTGCCCAGTGAGAAAATATAGGCTTGGGAACCCACATAATAAACGATCTGACCACTTTTCCTAGGACTGCTGTAGTGTGCTGTGGGTCTGTTCCAATTTCTAGTTACCTTGGATTTTCCAGCACCCAAAGGTGTCAATAGCGAAGGCTGTGAATCACCAAAGATGGCGGCCTGCTCCACCCTCTGAGAGCTCTGTCCCAGACGGGTGTGGACCTCTTGAGGGCCTGAACACACTGGTGGGGTTGGCAAGGGACCCCAGTGGGGAGGTCCCACCGAGTGAGCAGGCATGGGATTGGGGACCCACATACAAGAACAGTCTGGATGCTTTGCAGAGCAACTGTGGGTATGTTGGGGGTCTGCTCCAGCCCAAGTAGCCTCCAGCTCTCCAAAGCTTGAAGGCAGCAATGGCTGAGGCTGTGAAACAGCAAAGATGGTAGCCCACCTGTCCTTCTGGGAGCTCCATCCCAGGGGGGTTTGGGACTGCTACCTGCTGGAAAATGCCAGTCGGAATGGTTGTGTGCCTCAGCTGGGAAATTTGGTCCAGTGAAGAGAAATGGGGTCTGGTACCCACATGAAAAGCAGCCTGGCCGCCTCTCTGTAGAGCCGCTGTGCTGGGCAAGGGACTGTCCCAGCTGCTGCTCACTGGAGAGTCCCCAGAGCCTGAAGGCAGCAACCTCCAAAGCTGTGAAACAGCCAAGGTGGCGGCCTGCGCCTCCTTCTGGGAGCTCCCTCTCAGCGAGGTGGAACGCTGCTCCCTGTGCCTGGCTGAAGTTCCACTTGGTGAGTCTTATCCTGGGAGGTGCCTTGGAAGCGGGTCCTGGGACCCTGGCT